AGATTGCATTCCAAACGTGCCTTAGCTCTCCTTGCTGTGTCTCTGCATTCCCTGACTACTTTCCTGTATCTCTCCCAGGGGCCCTGTCCTTTTTTCCACATTCTGTACACCGCCTTCTTCTGCTTGAGCATTGCCACAAGCCCATTTCTCATCCACGCAGGTCTCCTGCCCCCTCTGCCTGACTTCTTACACACAGGGATGCACTGTTGCTGGACGTGGAGGAAGGGCTGCTTGAAAACTAACCAGCTCTCTTGGGTCCTCCTTCCTTCCTTCTAGAGCTCTAGCCCATGGGATTCTTCTGAGGAGGTCTCTGAAGAGGTAAAAGTTGGCCCTCCTGAAGTCCATGGTTGCAAGGCTACTTACAGCCCTGCCTCCTCCTCACTGGATCCTGAACTCCACCAACTCATGGTCACTGCAGCCGAGGCTACCCCCCACCTTCACATCTCCTACAAGTCCCTCTCTATTTGTTAGCACCAAGTCCAGTAGCCCACCTCTCCTCATTGGCTCCTCTATGGCTCCTGTGTCAAAAAGTTATCGTTGACGCTCTGCAGGAACCTCCAGGACTGTTTGTGCCTGGCTGTGTCGTCCTTCCAGTTGATGTCAGGGTAGTTGAAGTCCCCCATGAGAACCAGGGCCTGTGACTGTCAGGTAACATCCAGCTGACTATAGAAGGCCTCATCAACTTCCTCATCCTGATCAGGTGGCCTGTAGCAGACACCCACCACAGCGTGTGCCACATTAGCCTGCCCTTTAACCCTTACCCACAAGCTCTCAATTCTCTCCTCATCCACCCCCAGACTTAGCTCCATGCATTCCAGTTGCTTTCTCACATAAATAGCAACTCCACCACCTCGTCTTCCCAGCCTGTCCTTCCTAAAGAGCATATAGCCTTCCATGACAGCTGTATTGGAGATGAAAATTTCCGTGATCTGTAGAGTCATAACAATCTCCTATGGGAAGCAGAGGGCAGACCTTGAGAAAAAAAGGATGTTTGCCTGCCTAGGCTGAGCAATAAGGCAGCTGCTCAGCCTGGTCCACAGGCAGCCCCCCCGGAAACCTGTTGAAGCCATCCGCTTGGCTGGGCTTGTAGCCAGCTTAACCGCAGACGTCCTCCAAACTAGCTTTGGAGACCAAAACACCCGGAAATGAGGAAGAAGAGGAGGAAGGCAGGACCCTCGAATTGAGGGCTGGGACCCCTGACTGGTGTGCGCGCCTGCGCTCCTCAGCAGGGAGGGGGGGGAAAAAAAAAGTTGCGCGCCCTGGCCCCCCCAGGGGGGGGGGGGGGGGGGTGTTGCGCAACTCAAGGTGGAGTTTTATCCTCCCCCCTAGCCTGCCTCCTGGGTCGTACTGACCCTACGTGCCAGGATGCACCAGGCATAGAGAGGACAGTGAGGAGAGAGCTGTTGGGGGGGGAGAAGAAACTCCTGACTTTAAGGGCTACGCTGTCTCCATGGGAACTGGTCAGCAACTCTCTCTCTCTCTGATCTGCCAGCTCGAGAGGATGTTCGGGCCCAGATCGGCAGGTATCACCTCGTGAGTGAGGTGATACCATACTTTGCTTCTTTTATGTGCTTTCACCTGAATAAATGCTCGATGTAGTCACCTTGTTCTGCATGATTATTGCCGAATCCCGAGCCCATCTGGAACAGCAGTGCTCCAGTCATATGAGCTATCCCACCATGTCTCTGTGATTCCAATAAGATCATGACTCTGGGACCGCACCCAGAGCTCCAGTTCCTTCTACTTATTCACACATTGGTGTACAGGCATTTCAGGGAAGTAATTGAGCCTGCAGGTTTCCCAGGAGGGGTGAAAGAGGACCCTCTATAATCATATCCTATCCTCACTTCCCCACTGCCATACTCCCGCTAGAGGCCATCTGACTTTGGCTGTGTGGTACTGATTGCCCTGTCTGTGTGACACTCCCCTTCCCCTTCTTGCTTAGTTTAAAGCCCTCCTAAAGAGGTTGGCCAGCGTTTTGGCAAAGAGATATGTGTCCATCTTGCTGAGGTGGTTCCCATCATTCCCCAGTAGCTGGTGGTCATCAAAAAGAGTCCCATGGTCATAGAAGCCAAAACCCTGTTGCCAAGCCCAGCGGCACAGCCAGTTGTTAATCTGCGGTATCTGCCTTCTCCTCCTTGAATCCATTCCCTTCATTGGTAGGATAGAGGAGAACACTACCTGGGCTTCCATATCTTTGATGGCCATCCCTAGGGTTCTGCAATCTCGCTTGATATCCCTCAGTTTCCCCATGACATCATTTGTGCCCACGTGAAACCCGGTGGGTAATAGTCAGACTCTCGGACAAGCCTTGGGAGCCTTTCTGTAACATCCTTTATTCGAGCCCCTGGCAAGCAGCAGACCTCTCTGGATAAGGGGTCTGGTCTACATATTGGTGCCTCCGTGCCCTGCAGCAGGGAGTCACCCATGATGATCACCCACCAATTCTTCCGGGTGCTCCTTTTCTCCTTAGGGGGAGCAGCCTAGTTGTGGACCTACAGAGACTGCCTCTCTGTAGACAGCCTCCTAGATGGGCCTTGGTTCATGACCTCATCTATCCGATCCCCAAGCTCCAGGGCATCGTACCTCTTGGACATGGTCACAGGTGGAGGTGAGGTGGGCGGTGGAAGGGTTCTCCTGCCACCTTGAATAGGGACCTGTTTCCATTGTTATTCATCTCTTGATACTGTTAATTCTGCCCCCTCTACCCTACGGAAAGAGGGTACTGGATTTACAGACTGAATTGGGGGGTTCTCTGCGTGGCTCAATGCAGCTCCACCAGTCTATTTCTCTTTCACATTCCATGATGGCCCTCAGCCTTCCTACCTCCTCCTTCAGCTCCACCACCAGGCTGAGCAGGTCATCCACTTGCTCACACCTAAGGCAGGCAATGTTTACGCTACTCCCTGGCAACATGGAGAGGCTCAGACATTCCCCTCAGCTAGAAACCTGGACCGCTACATGTTTCTGTGATGGTACAATCTGTGTCGCCACAATCTTCCTGCTGGAAGCTCTCTGCCGAGTAGAGGCCGTGGCTTCACCTGATCTCCGGATGCTGGAAGAGTCTGTGGAGAGGATTCTTTTCCACACCTGGGAGGAGACTCCCTGCCCCTTGCCTGCGCTAACTGCCATGCCGCGCCCTGTCTGATGCGCTGCGCTCCTGGTTGCTCGCGCTCCCTGCGGGCAGTTTTTGAATTCCCGCCTGCCCGGCCGGCTCCAACCCCGCTGAATCAGAGCCACCTCCCTCCAGCCCGGAGCTCAGCGCTGCCCACACAGGGGTCAGCGCTGGGGCTGCCTCTCGCTGTGTACGCTCTCTCGTTCGGTGGCTTTTGCCACAGTTGCTCGCCTCTAGACAAGGTGCTCCGGCATGAGCGTCCGCTCCAGAGCCCTTCCCTTCAAGAATAAAAGACACTCTTAATACTAAGGCATTTGCTCAAATAGTATCCTATTTTTTTCCAAGATTTTGCCGTTATAAAGAAGACCAATATAAGTCTTTAACCCGTTTCCCCTCAGATAGGCATCTAGTGCCACTTGGGATGCCCTAGGGTGTGCTGTGTGACCGCCAGCTAAAGGTCCACAAAATGAGATGTCTCCTATCATACCCTTAGAAATATATCCTATTAGTTATCAGAGTCATTACAGATCATCAGAAATAGCACCTATATGTTCTCAAATTTCATATGAAAAATCCAGTGTTTTACTGCTATCTCAATCTGCAAGTAAACCTTTACCCAGGACCAGATAATTACCACGGAAAGAAGGTCCTGAAGATCTCACCTGGAAAAATGTACCCACAGGACTAATTCAAAAAAGCAAAACCAAAAAAGAACCATAGCCTGAAAGGAGCTGCAGATTCTTGTGATAGGCATGGGCTAACTGTCACCTGTTACAAAAACTCTCAACAGCATGTAAGAGCCTGACAACTTGAACTGAAAATGTCTTAAAGGTAAGAAGTCATCGGTGGAATCATAAATAGAAACTTAGGGTCACTTCCTCTTTTTAAGTGTGATGAGTGTCACAGATTCCAAGTATGCTATTGATTTCATAATGATTGCATTGAATGCAAGGTCAGGAAAGTTGAAACTTGTAAATAAGAATCACAGATTAATTGAGATTGGAAGGGGCCTCTGGAGATCATCTGATTCAAACTACTGCTTAAAGTAGGTCCAATTTTGAAGTTAGATCCAGCTTCAAAATTAGATGAGGTTGTTCAAGGCCATGTCTGGTCAAGTGTTTCAATATCTCTAATGTGGAAGTTATGTAACCTCTCTGGGTCAAAGAAACCAGAAACTCTTCCAGGTTTTCAACACTCTCTATATGAAAACGTTTTTGTAAGTTCAATATTTTTCTAATACATACTTTTAGCTCTGCACTATGAGAGTGGGTTCAAATGCAGCAATATATATTCCAAATTGTTTACATGAATATAGATGTGTAACATTCTTTGTGTAGCTGAGCTCAGAATATGGACTGACCTGTTAGATTAGAGTGAAGGTACATTGCCATCACGCTTCAGAGGACTGTGCACTGCTGTCAGCCTCTTTTATGACTAAAAAGACAATTCACGCTCCATCATCTCTCATTAGCACCAAACATTAAAAAGTTATGAAGACCATACCCTGAATGTCTTTTTAAAGTGATTTATATCTTAATAACTTTAAAGACCTTTGACAAGGCCAAACTGTTAAAGTAGACTTTAAAGTGCTTTAAAGATGATCAATCTCTTCCTAAGACTGTGAAATACATATGAAAAAATACATATGATCTTTTCATTTATTGTAAATGTTATCTATACACATAAGTATTTGAGTACTAAGAACATTGATTCTACCCATCATTATACCTCACATTAATTGTTTCAGTCTATGCAAAAGGTTGTAAAATGCAATCCCTGATGCAGAGGGGAAGTTCTGATCTAGTGAGATATTTACACCAGCTTTGGTTTAATTGTTTTGATCTGTGACATTGGAACTTTTCCAGGGGTTACACCCAAGATAGATAGTAACAAAATGGTTGAAAGTATTTGAGTACTTGAAAATACTAAAATACTTGAAAGTTAGACTCGAGATTAGGTACAGGAGTTCAGTTTATTTCTTAAATAAAGAGGCCACATATCCCAAAAAGTATTTTATTAAACATTGAATTACATCCTTCCCAAATAAAATGGGTAAAAAAAATCATTTAAAAATAAGCAATTAGCACTCTGAAGAATCCTAATAAAGAATGTCTGCTGTTTCTATAGAAACCTTGCTAAGTACGGGGGAGCTGTCTTGCAGCTATAGCAACTGGTAGAATGAAGGGTGTTTTTCTGTCACACAGGTTGAGTTATACTGATAACTGTGTCAAGCCAAATTACTTTTGATATTTTCCAAGTGTGAGATCAGTTGCTGAAGGCTCTGAAATGACAAATATGATGCAATAAGCTCTGAAATTTTCCCAGAACTTTCCTTAAATTTATGGGCACAATTTTTAGTTTGTCTCCTTTTAATCTAATCATATGCAATCAGGCTCAGGAAAATAACCTTTTTCGGCATGAAAAGTATATTAGGGTGACTGCTTTCAGACAGGTTTGTCAATGCTCAGAAGACTAGAGCTGATGTTCAAATGCTGATGCTTCCTTCTCCTATTGTTTTATTTGGCCGTAGTGGAAATAAGGATGCAAAGATTGAAACAAAGCTGTAAGACTTCTGATGTTAGCAGCTAGAACTGGTACAATTTTTTTTTCCATCATGTTCACCTACTTTCCCCTCTATTCAGGCTTATTACCCGATCATCACTTTTCCTGCTAAGAACTGAGAAACATGAGACACTATGACAGTAAATTAAACTAGAAAAAAGAATATATTAGTATAGATGAGCACTAACCTTTCCCTTTTTTTTTTTTTTCTTTTTTCTTTCTTTGAGAGGAGAGGGGCACAAATTCTATTGCATGTTTCCACCGCTAAATCATCCAAGTCCTAGCCCAAAGAGGAAACAGACTGACATTTTCACTTGGCATAATTATTATGAGGCATTTTTCTGAAGGTCTGTATTGGAGATGGAAATTTCTATGATCTGTAGAGTCATAAATAAGCATTGTGTGAAACAAAATCCAGACCTTGGAGGGAAAACACTGAACCTTGATAATGCTCAGCAGAGGCCACTAACAAAGGAAGGTTGTAATACCCGGATCCCTGAAGAACGAAAAGCAACATGTTATCTAAACCAACAAAGAACTAGTTAGTTCAGAAGAAGGAAGAATTGCTGTTCAGGCTGGTTTGCAGCCAGCCTGACTACAAACTGCTGTCCAAGGAAGTTTGAAGGTCAAAGTCACTGTGAGAACAAGAAGGATAAGGGAAGCGAGACCACCAAATTGAGGGATGAGACCCCCTTCTGGAATTTGCGCAGGTGCAGTCCTAGAAGGATGATATAATGGAAAGGCGGAGATTTACCTGCCCCTGGGTGGCCTCCTGGCACGTACTGGCCCTACGTGACCGGACGCACCAGGGGATAAAATATGAAGGGCAGATTTGGGGGATGGAGACTCCCAATACCGAGGCCAATGTCGTCTCCTGCGGGGACGTCCTCTATGATTGAGAGCCTGCTGGCCCCCCAGCCTGCTACTTTGGAGAGATGCGTGGTCTCGTAAGTCTGCTGGCAAGTATTATTCAGTAAGTAATCTTTTCATATTCACATGTACTAACCAATTCGTATCCATATGTACTTGTATTATGGTGTGTTAATTAAAGGCATCATTGTTATTAAGTCTATTTTGTGCCCTTGGATTGCTGAATCCCGAGCCCATCTGGCACAAGGTCGCAGAAGTTCTTCTGTGTGAGGTAGTCCATTTTCAGCAATTTGTGGTACACATGAAAAAGTTGTTTAACATTCACACAAGCTTTTGACAGTAAGTCAGAATGGTGAAAGCAAAGTGCAGCCAACCTGAGTAATATTACCTCCTCGTCTTACAAGTCTCAGTAATGGTCACAGAATTCATATACAAGTCTCTCTGTGTGGTTTCGCTTGACTATACATAGATCAGTAAGTCACAGGAGCAAAAAGCCCCTTTTCTCATGCATTGTTCTGGCTCCCCTTCTCAGGTTCATCCTTTGTCTTCTCTCTCTCCCATTGGCCTAGACTTAGCTTTTTCTGTGGCTTTTAACATAAGTGTAGAGGCCTGCCCTATAGAACAATAGTAGGCTACACATAGAGATGGAATGAGTTGAAAAGAAATATTAGAAAGGGCCTTTTGTGTATCAAACTAGAGATTTAATCCTATATTCCCCAAAATAGTTCCAAAAGGGAAACTCACAGGAGGAGAAGGAAAAAGCTTTTGCTTTGCAAATCTCTCCTAGGCTTTGCTACTCAAAGCTTTCCTGTTATCCCTCACACCTTTTCAGATCTCTTTTCTTACCTTAAGTCCCAGACATTCTGGTCCTTTGGATATTCCTGTCAGAACTCCTCCACCAAAGCCCAGCTGTCCCCTCTATCCTAAATCTCATTCTCTGCTCTGAGTTCTTGAAAAACTTGTTTTTCCTTCCTAGTCCTTCACTTGTGCTCACCTACTTGCACCCCAAAAATCTTCTCCCTGCCTTTCTCCTATTCAGCTGAATTTCTTCCATTGTTGCTGCAACCTAAATTTTTTATCTGTTTTAAGAAGCTGTAATTTATCTCTGCTGAAGATTGTTCATCTGTCACCACAGAGCCTGCTCTTTCTAGTCTTAAAATATCTTCAGTCTTCCATGATGGGAAACTTAAAACTAACTTCTAAACCTCAGACTTTTACATGGTCGCTCTCAAGACTCTTTCCAGCTGAACCACATCCTTCATGAATTCTCATGCCCAAAGACCGGTTCTGTCTCAGACCTAATGAGTAAGGACAAGTAAGGCATAATGAATGCTTTTATTATTCAAGACAATATTCTTAAATTTGATATTTACCTTATTTGCAGAAGTATGATGCTGTTGATTCATTTCTTGCTATTTACTACAACTTTTAAGTCTTTTATTGTATCAACACTGCAAGGACAATCCATTCTGTATTTATGTAGCAGATTACTCCTATTTAGATATACATTTTTATATTTGTCCCTGTTAACTTGCATTCATTTTTTTTCTATTCTATTTCTCTAATATGTTAAGATTATTTAAATTCTAATTTCTTCCTTTGTAATACTTGAAAACTTCCCAACATAAGGAAAATTCACATAATAGTAAGCTCATTAGGCATGACTTCATACACCCATTACTGAAAATGTGATAGGTCAGATCTCTGGGGAACTACACTTGCTCCATCTTTCCAGCTTAACTGTGCATGATTAATTATTATTGACTTTCTGAATGATTATGTACTACCTAGCAGTGGATAATTCTTTGTTTTGATTATAGGAAGACTGTATCAGACTCATAATTAT